TGATATTTCTTAACAAAACTTTTTATTACCATCAGTATATCCTAATATGATTTTAAAAATCAGATCATTTTAGTGAACGACAAATACACTGGCAGTAGGATGTATATTAATATGACATGAACATTTTCTAATATAAAAGGACTTATCACAGCAGTGACTTAGATAAGCAAAATTGAATAACCGTCTTACTGAATTTGCAACATCATCAAAACAAGACTCTGAAATAACAATCACTTCAAACAAATGCTATTCCAAGGTATGTAACATGAACATTCTCCAAAGAAACACAGGCTATTTTAATATTGGATGTGAATATTTTCTGTATAGGAATACAGTTACCTTTGCTGCTCGGTATTTGCACAAAGAATCTCTGAAATACATCACTGTGCATCAGCATAAGGATAGTATTCAGCTGACCATAAAATGTATCCAAGTATTATTTTTTCTAAGTAAAGGACCAGAGATTATTCTCCTCCCAGCTTTCCTTTTCAAAATAACTATATAAGTACCTGCAAAGGTTTTAAATTTCAACTGAAGACTTAGGATGCTATTTAGCAACCAGGAAACAGCCTCTATCAGCATGAAATTCACAGTGTGAGAGAACTGTCTCAATACAGTATATTCATGCTAATATTCTGCATGCTGTCAGTTCTGATACCTTATAAAGCTGCCTCCTGAGGCAGGACCTGAGCTCCTGCAGATCCCCATGTAGACCCTGGAAGTCTATGGGGCCTCTTAATATAAGGAAGAGATAAATTGAGTGGGCATTCTCATGGTTTTGTGCTGGTCATGAGTGTCCATGTTTAATAGTCATAAACTTCAAATTGATTATGCTGTTGCAAACTCTCAGGAGAGAACTTAAAGCAGATTTTTAGATGCCAAGGTTAGACAAATGGGTGGCAAAGTTTTGTGAGAGAGAAATTCAGGGCCATATGGTTACTGACCACCAATGAATGCCAGTTAAATCCCACAGCAGTCTTAAAGTGGGATTTAAAATTAAAAGCAATGCACCAAAAATAAGCACAACAGACTGTGTATTTGGAGCAAGATACTTTGCTGCATCACTGCTCTGTAATACTGCAGAAAGGACATAAGGAAATTCAAACACATATGGGAGGAATTTTGTTTGCTTTGCGCACAATAAATTGTGTGTTTGCTGAACAAAAAGAAGAGACAATCTAAAGGGGGAAAAGTACATAAGTCACGGTGAAATAAAAACATAAGGAATGAAGACAGGAGAAAGTATCAGGTAAAACACTAAATTAAAATAGCACTTACGACAGAGCCACCTGAGGACATCAAAACAGCAAAATGAGTCAGATGATTACATTTGCATGAGATATGAGTGGAGTTGGAATGTGTCAGCTCACAGCCTTCTGTAGCCCAGTTGCCATTCATTGTGTCTGCCGAGTAGTTCCAAAATGCACATTTAATATCTTTATCCGCAGTCTGGAACAGAAACAAGATGTTTTACTGATGGCAAAAGGCAGGATACTTCCCATCAAGAGACCTTTCTTACGTTAGCCAGAGCAATTCATTAAAAATTGCTTGTTACCATTGGAAGGTTGGGAAACAAAAAGCACATTCTGCAAGGCCTATTCCAGGCAATTAAAACATGGCTGGGGATGGAAGCATTTTATCCACGCAACTAACGCCCCACCAAACATGTAGGCTAATCAGATTACTGAACCCTTCTGGCACTTGCAAAGGTGTTGGAATTTTTACCTACTGAAAACATTGTTATA